AATCATGATGTCATGGGAAGATGCAGTAAAAAAAAGGGCAAGGCAAAACACTATCAGTATCAACACAGTTCCTTTATTGTCAGTCAGGCATTCTAAAAAAATATGTGTCCATAAAAATGATTCAAAAATCAAAAATAATCGCACTGCAAATGAATGTTCTGCTGAAAAAAAGAAACTGGAGCCACCGGTCCACCACCTAGTCCAAATCCGACAGTTCCATGGCCTTACCAATGGACTGGTTGTGTTGGACCACCTGATCAAACGAGGGAGGGAGAGGAGTAGTTCCAATTTGGAACAAGTGAGTCCCAGGCAGCGTGTGGTAGGTGTAGCTGTAGCAAAGACGATGGACAAAGGATAAGTGTACCCAAGTGAATGGGACAGCAATGAACATGGGCGACGCAAGGGGATGAACCTTCTCCAGCTCAAAAACTACCCACCCATGCTCCAACCAGGCGAGACGAGTGACCGATGTTTTGATAGTATGTGATGGCAGATCGACGTCATGAAGGTGGACCTGTTGCCCTATTTGGACCGGCCGCCGGGGCTTTGCTGATATCAGCAGTGGCACGTGGTAGTCAACGGATTGGCAACGGAAGCGGATAGGAAGTGGTGACATCAGAAATGGTGGGGGAGCAAAGAAGATGAGGAGGAGGAGGGTGGAGGTGACGAGGAGGTGAACTAAAATGGGGACCCAGAAATGACCGTCGGGTGAAAATAAAAAGGAGAGGAAGGGGCCCATGGTGGGGCTACGCAAAGGAAGGGGAGTAAGGGAAACGACAAAAGCGAGGGCGCAATGCAATGTGTAGCCAGTGGCGACGCGAAAATTTGCCGAAATGCCGAAACACGGAAAGTACCAGATGGAAAAGCAAAGGTGAGCGTGACTGGATTGCCTAATAGAGGTGGTGCTGATCAGCCACAAGTTCGAAACAGGCAATATTAATTACTATTCCACGTGGCACTGTGCCTGTGTGGCGCAAAGGCGAGTCTTTTCGAATATTCGCTTTGTTATTGACACCTGTCCATGCTACCAATCAATTTTGGTGCATGACAACGGCTACATATTTGAGTCTTACGCTAGTAGCATAGTTGAATCATTCATATATTGTTTCATGTATGTTTATCACTTACTGATTTCAGGTCTGTGTTTTCTCCTTTAACGAGCTGGACAATGAAACAATGGGTTCTCCAAAACTTCTCATTGCCGCTTGATGCTGATGAAAGAGACAGACAATTCAGTAGTACAATATGATCAAACAATTCTTACACACAAAATTATTAGACTTGATCCTCTTGACAATCTTTGTCTCTATTTCCCCCAATTTGTCAAATAGTGCACGGGGATTTTTCATAACTGCTGGGCTACCACCAGACTTAGGAAGCTTCTCTAGTCTACTATTATAGTCTGCTGTAGCCAGAACCCATTTTTGAGACGTCATGCTGAACAATGCCCATTTATTTTGTAGGCGCATATCCATGAATAGGAAAAATTTGGCACTAGAGTTGAGGGTGAGTGAACGTGGGTCGATACCCGTCAAGATGGAAAATATGCGCTGAAAGCGTGAGAGACCATTCAAGTTGGGGTCAGCAAGTGGTGAGAAGGCCGCCATCAAGTTTTGGCTCGTGTGTTTGTCACTAGGGCACTTGGGGGCGACAGTCTTTGATCCAGTGCAAAAAACATGCTGATATATTGCTGGTGGATGGCTGGTTGGTCCGGATAAGTGGGTACCATGGGCATGCTCAGTGTTGATTTCATTATAGTCAGATATGTACTTACAGTGCCTTTTGCCTGTATACTTGAGGCATTTGTAGCCGGTGTACTTGGGGCATTTGTTGCTGATGTACTTAGGGTGTTCGCTGTTGTCTCCTATGCAGTAGTGTACATGAGTATTTCCAAAAAGGATATTAAATCTACATACCTGAGCAGTGGGGATACAACTCTTCTTCTGTAGTGGGCCTTCCAATGCGCCAGCAAGTGGCCCCAAATCTTCAGTTAGGTCATAAAATGGGACCTTCCGCTTGAGAGGCCCAGATTGGCTGGAATTGGCAAGCGCTGTTGGCTCAGTTATAGCCATCATTTCACCTGGTTGCAATGAGGCATACTCAAGTAGAGCACATGAGTATTGTGTGTCAGCTGAAAAGGACAGAAGTTAGTTAGGTAGCAAGACAGTCATGGTGAAAAGGATACTTGCCTAAGGTGATTTGAGGCACTGTAAGCAAGTTGGGGTCGATATCCAGGCATTGCAGGATTGATGTGGGCTCAATCTCGGCATCTAAGTCTAATTGATCCAGGCTGAGGTCTTGCTCATCAAAATTAGCCTCAGTCTTAACTTCTATGAGGCCTCCAAATATTGAGCTGTGGTTAGAGGGGCCAAGACCAAAGGATTCTTTGGTGTTGATGGATGAAAGGAAAGGGCGTGCCTTCAGCTCTTGACTGTTGTTGCTGTGAGTTGGTTCTGTGGAAAGCAAGCTGTTCCATGAGTTGGCAATGTGGTTAGCTAAGCGGATGTGGTGTGTCCCATGGATGGAACTAAGGAATTTGCTCGGTTTCTGCGAGCGGAAGCGAATGCGTATGTTACGATGTATGTAACAACCAAGAGTGATCTACTCTGGCGCACACAGAACACACACTAAAGTGAAGATGAAGTTTGGGGAGTGGTTACCCCTTGAGCTGCAGTGAGTTAGTTGGTATACAACAGGAGGACTCGCTGAGGAGTCTCCTGGATCTATTGGGGTATATATACTACTACAGGTTGTTTGTACATGTGTACTATACAGTTGATGAAGGCAGTGGCTAATGATGTCATAGGGCCTAGCCCGTATGGCCAGCTCCACTGCGTGAGAGAGTTAAGTCTAAAGATAAAAGAAAGGCAACGTGGCGCGAGAAAGGGAAGTGCCATGTGGCAATTAAGGTATAAAGTTAAAGCGGAGAATAAAATGAAAGGAGATGTCCGGAAATTGTGTTATCGTAACAATGTATCACAAAATCAAAACCTAAGGCTAAGAACATCTCCAGGCCGCTGGCGAATGACCGCATGATGCCGTTCCAAGCCTTGTGCAACCCTTCAATGCGGCTTCTATCTGATCTTATATCTTGCCAAACTCGCATCAAACACCCTTTTTTGATGTGTGCGAACTGGTCTGCGTGCACCTGTGTAATTTAGATTGTCAGTAGTAGTGTATATGGCATGAAAAATGAAGTACTTACCTTGGAGGCAGCTGCAGACCACACCCCGCCCTTTTCGGCCCACTTCTCAAACATCGTTTGAAGCTGGACCTCTTGCTCTTCTTTTGTTTGATACTTCGCACTTTCTCCATTACCTGATGCCCGTGAACTCAGGATAGCTTTGCTAATGTCGTGGGCTACAGCCAAACACTGAGGGTTCCTGGTTCCGTTGAGAATGGCAGCAAGATACCTGCAAATATGTGAGTACAAGAACAGATAAGTCGTGTTTACTTACCTCATAATGAAATGGAATACATCCAGGCCAACTTGTGCATCTGGCATTGCTTTATTGACTGCACTGCGTACGTGGCAGCAGTTATCAACAATGACCATTTGTGGGAGGGGCTGATCCAGTTTTTCATAGCGAGACTTCAAGCCTTCAAGCAACTCCTCCATTTCTGTGTTTGCTTGAGTTTGGCAAAGTCTCTGTTAGATCCGGATTAGCCAGCAAGTTCAAACATTAATAAAACAAAACTCACCCAAAAAAGTATCTCATTATCCTCGTTTATAGCGGTAAGCATTCCCCCCCTCATGAACTTGGTCCTTGTCTTCTGCTTATCTGCCACTGTTGCCTTCCCTGCAGCTTTGAAAGTATTGTCGAGAGAAATACAAACACCTGTTGCATCCCATGTTAGTTCCAGAGTTGATCAGCTACTGAAGGGAAAAGGATCTCACCAGACAAGGTGCGTAAGTATTCAGATGACTCAGCTTGTCGTGAGCGTTTACTGACTTCAAGATAAACATCTGTGATAAGATCATCAGTAATAGGTTTGTCACCATATGCATTGCTCAGGTTTGGTAGTGAGAATTCCACAAGAGGAGCACATGGCTCAAAAGGCGAGTGACACCTTCTTCTCTTTTCAAAATGTTGTAAGTATTCTAGAAAGCGCTGCTGATAGTCGAAAAGATGGAGTTCTGCGGTCAATGACACATTTCCAGGTAAGTGTTGAAGGCACAAAAGACATGATGACTTACATTTGAAATTTTCTGCCAGTCCAGCCGATGTGGTTGAAGGTCGCAACTCAATGATCAGATCAAACAGATCGCGTGTCATACCGCATTTTTTGAAGAAGACTGGCACATTTCCTGTTTAATCTGGTGAGATCAGTGGCAGCTGTCTTGATGA